TATAAACTTTGCAATCAAGTTCATAAACGCTAGTCATAATTACACGGTACGTTAACAATACCTAAGAATACGAACATCATGCCTACCATAAAAGCTATGTTTAAATCCATATAAAATAACACTTATTATCATTATAAACAATTAATCTTCATCTGATTCACACTTACTATAAAACTATAAATTGTAATGAAAGTTTATTTTTGTTCTAAAAGGTTATAAATAAGCAAAATAATCTTTCGATATTACCTTCATTTCCCACTTTTCCAACTCACACTGCCATGAATACACCAAAAAAGGACAAGTTATTTCACGTGATATCCCGATATGCGCGAGAAGTCATTTCGACACCTACCGTATATTTAGAAAAGACTGCTTACTGCTAGGCAACTGCTGTCAACAAACATGGAGCATTTGAAAAAACAGTTCAATAGGCCTAATAATGTTTTACAAAGTTGGAGCATTGGAAGCAACAGGCCTAATAATATTTCTGATAAAAATTACGGTAGACTACAGTTTTATGTTTATCACAAATTTTAGATTTACTAGTATCACTTTTTAGCCAGATTTCATCGTTCAAACTGTAACTTTTAGCATGGAGCATTGTTTACTAGAAGTGGGTTAGGCCTCAAATTTTATTAGTGATTAATCATGTAAAGATTTTCGTAAGAGCATTTCGTATTAAATTTATGTTATGCTTATATCCAGTTATAGTTCAGTTGTTTTTCAATTCACGTTTAGCATAACAAGATAAGATCGTTGATTGATATATTTATTTATTTAAATAGGTTTTGCACTCTTACAGTACAGTACAGCCTGCAGGTAGGAACCTAAACTGTGGTAGAATTTAGAAATAAATATGACTACTCACGTTAGGCCTATGTAGAGCTGGAATTTTGAAAATATGTATTCTAAATATCTGCTGTGTAAAAGTAAGAAATACTAATGATGTTTATTGCATTTTTCAAAAATCCATTATTTTTATATTCTGTTTTACAGAACCCCTTTTCTGTATTTCATTGTTTTTGTATTAAGTGTAATTCAGTTAAGCACAAGGTTTGATTCATATTGAAAGTGAGTCTAATAATATGAATTAATCAATGAGCCAAGTGCCTGTGAAATTGAAATTTTTAACTTTAGAATGTTATTTCTACTTTTCTTACAAAATTAGGGTAATTTGATGTAAATTTAAGAGTATTCAGGCAAGATATACTTTAAAAGGGAATACAGTAGGGACTGGAAGATACATGAGTAATCTAGCCAACTTACCATGGGTATGAAAATTTACAGACTATCTCCCAGTGCTATCACTGTATAGAATATGTAAGGCCTAGATAAATTGCATCCCTATAAAGACTTTCAAGAAATGATAAGTCATTAAATAATATAAAGAGAATGAGCATGCTGTGGTATTCTCTTGTGTTAACAGAAAAACAGAGAGAAAAATAAGTAAAATGGATGATTTAGCTTAGAAATGAATATGTATAACTTTTTATTCATTTGGATGCCTTATGCATGTTTTAACATTCAACAAGACTTAAGAGGGAAAGTGAAGATTCCCTGAGAAAATAAAACATGGGTTTAAAGGTTTACTTTCCTCAAGGGTGAGTGTGCAAAGATAGCCTTGAAGACCAAATAGGTACTTATAATCCATTTGTTAAACATTGTTTTTCATTAAACCTGTAGGAAGTTAGTTTGAATTATATATATATATATATATAGCAGGAAACAAACCTATTTGGCATATAATCATAATTTTACAGAAACGTTATTGAGACTAAGTCATAAAAGGGTGTTTGGTTTACGTATTAACCACTATTTTACTTACAACATTTTAGATAGATTCAAAGCTCTTACTTAGTCTTGATTTATCAAAACTGAAAATAAGTCCTGAATAGAAGTTCTTTTAATTATATTATGATCCAAGTGTTACTACAATGTAAAATTGAGGAAGTTTTTATCAATAAAAGCCAATTTATTTTCAGTTAGTAATTTTTATTTTGCATAAGCTCTTTTCAGATAGGGGGTGACTCATGATATAAGCAAGCATAACTTGAAATTACTAAAGTGAATGAGATTTCTTGATTTGAGTATGAGTGCATACAAGTTTAAAAAAATTAAGCCACTATAAAATATGCTTGATAAGGATTTTATTATTTTTCTATTAATTTATCACTGTACCAAAAAATGTTAAGTTGGAATATTGTAAATATTTTGTAATTTTATGTACACTAGATTTTTTGTTTGTGGGTAAATCACACATAAATGTAATTCTTAGGGGAATTTGTATTTAATTAGGCTTGCATTTCTTTCTTTTTTTGAACTCCTAAATATTGAATATTAATTTGTCCAACTTGTGTTATTTTTATCCTTTCATGTATTGCAGTTACATGTACAGCACTCATTTTTTGCACACTGTAATTTATTTTTTATGATAGACTGATTAACTTTTTTATGACTTTGTTCTTAACATTGATCATTATTTTGTATAGACATATCTATATTGTTATTGTAGGCATCTTTTAGCTAAGAATTTTAGCTCTAATTTCAATGTCAAAGTCTGTGAACTTACCAATCTTAAAGGTATTTTTATAGATTGTTAATGGACCTTCAAATGGGAAAATTTTCATATTGTATTTCATCAATAAAGATTGAAATACAATATGAAAATTTTCCCAAAAATGTTCTCATATTAGTTTTATACTACCCAGTTATACTAAAAAAAAATACAATTTAATTTTTTTTATCCTAAGGGAGAAGAGCCCCAATACATTCTCCATATCTTAGAAAAAAACATGCATTTACCAACAGTACTAAATAATTTTTGTTTGTAAAATAATTAAACAAGTACATGGGACATTTTATTAAAAAATTGTTATATCACCATAACTTGATTTAATAATTTAAACTTATTTTTGTATTAGTCACACTTACTTAATTACATACATTTTTAGTATGTCTTTTTACTTGAAATAGACAAAAGTAATCAAAATAAATACCTGATATATCAGAATTCACTTCCAGTGTTCGGAAGACTGTGTTGAAGAAAAGTGATGGATAGTGTTGTGAAAGTTGATGTTTTGACCAGTTTGACCTTGCAAAAGACAACATATGCATTGGAATAACTTGTTCACAACTGTTTGAATATGATTTATGGCAAATGGCTTTTATACCCATAGGTATCAGGTAATGTGGCCACAATGTTGTGATAGCTTACCATTGCTATTAACATATAAGCCATGAAAAATGTCAACAAAACTATGGTCAACATTGCAACATTCCCCTAATTACTATTTGGATTTTCTGTATATTTTACCTATAAAGTGAGAGACCTTACCCAATTTTGGGGTCACAGTTTACATTGAATGTTATAGCAGACAAAATCATAAAATTACTCAATATGATGTGATATCTGGACTTGCCAGTAGTGAATTTAGATCAAACTTGGCTTGCTGTAATGATAAGTTAGTTCTAAATCAATTAGACTAATTGTTTATTGCTACATTTTGGTAACTTTCATCATGATTGATTTTGTACTATTGGTAACTTTGATTTCCTTTAGGCCTAAGGTATAATCCTCAAATTATTTAAGCGAAAAAAACAATATATGTAACTATGTTTTCAAATAATTAAATTTCATATGCTTATACATGTTAGAATTGTGATATTAAAGTTTATAATAATTCATAACCTAACTTAAATTTACAATATGCATCAATTTTAATATTTTACAGCTATAATTAATAGTAACTTTGAATTGCCAATTTCAGTCTACCATCTGTGTATTTAATAGTTTGTTCATTAGATGGCGCTACATTAGAGTACCAAATATGATTGCAAACAAGACATTAGAGCTTTTAAATGTTTTAATAATTGCTTAAATTTGTGTTTTATAATTTAAAGCAGTTAATTAGATATGGAATTTATATTTGATAGCTTCTGTAACTTTACAAGGTAAATCATGGAAGATTTGTAAACTAATGTCATTTCAACTTCGTATTTTTATGGTTGGGATTATATGGAAGCATAATTTTCAGTGGAAGAGAGTTGATAAATCATGTATAATGTCTACTAAGGTTAAGATTTCTCTTAATCTTTTAAACAGTGTTTGCTAACTTGTAGTGTATTTGTTTTCTAGTGTTATGAAAATGCTAGATATTCATTAAGTCTTTTGGATGAATTTTATGTATCAAGAAAAGACATAAGAGTGCCAAGGAACTCAGCCACATGAAAGGCTGTGACCTTGGTCTGTCTATTTTTCTTAGTTAGAATATACTTGGAATTCCAGGGATTGGGAGCGGAACTGGAAGCAGGAAGACCTAATGCAATTTTTATCAGTACAACTTGGCCAGCCTATTAACTAACAGCTAAGAACCTGTGTATGAAAGCCTGGTTGCCTGTACATATCTCATTAAGTTAGCTGTACATGTTTATTTTATCACACTAATTGGGCCCTATTGACCCCTAGCTTCCTATTCTTGTTGCCAGAAGATTGAGTTCATTAAAATGTTTTTAACCAGTACCACCCCCTGTCTGAGGTTGAAGGTTTTCTCTAGCTTTTTAGCCACAGAAGATTTCCCAGCAAAACTGGTAAGGTCATTTCAGACAAGTAATTACTTACCATATTGAACTCATACAAACTATCTTATTTTGAAGTGGTTTTTTGTAATTTAAAAGTGATATGTAAATATTTTAATACTACAATAGAGTATATGTTGGTGCTATAAGATGAAGTCTGCTTACTGGGGAAGTATTGTTAAAGTTTAATATATTTTTCTTTAATAATTGTTCTTCTGCCATTTGAAAAGAAAACCAAGAATTAAATGTTTCAGTGTTATCGTTTTTTTCCAGTATGAGTTAAATTATTTTATAACTAAATTAAAGAACTCATTGTTATTGGAAAGTTATAAGTTTGTAATCATTTTGAATACTTGATCATCTATAGTTATGTTATAAATAATGTAAAATGTTACTTCCTTATTAGCATTAAATTCTCTAAAACCATAGATACAGTATTCAAGAATGAAATAGTATAAATAAAATTTAATTAGTATCTTTCTAATTTGATATTATAGATGTATGTATTTATTATGTTAAAAGTATTAATATTAATACCACTTTTTTGTAAATCATTGAAATTGTGGAATTTAATTGCAGTTACAAATAAGTAAAAATTTAAGGAATTGTTCAGTTTGTTCAGCATATCTCACTAATCAAACAAATGGAAGGTGTTTATAAACATTGTGATTGTAAAGGAATTATATTTTTGTTTTTAATCACATAGGTACTGTTATACTTTCTGGACAGATATGGCTGAGAAAGTGAGGAATGAAACTTAAATGACTAAACAGCCTATGTTAGAATTACCTCTGGAATTAGAAGTTCAAAAGAAGTGCACAGCTATTTATACTTATTGAAATACAACAACAGAAACCTGTAATACTAGAGAAAGGAGAAAGTGTAGTGTCTACATGTGTTAACTTGTAAGGTTTTTACTAAATCTTTAAAAAATTAAGGTTCTTCTTTAATGATCACATAAAATTGTTAGTTTTAGTTTATCTTGATATGTTATTCAAGATGTGTATTTCTTGAATACTTTAAAAGCATACACATTGTAATTACTCATCATTTTGTCTGTTTTGGATAAATTTATGGGTTAAATTTTGAGCAGTGTTGTTAATTAAAGTTTAAAAATATTTTCAATGGCAAAAAGATAAATTAGTTTTGAATTAAATGGCATATTTTTAACTTTTGAACATAAAAACTATTAACATATGAATCTAACAAATTCTTACAAGATGACAGCTAATAAGTAAACAAAAAGCACAGATATTTCCTTTGTCAACAAAGATTAATAAATTATCAGTTATGATTGTAATTTGTTTTAATTTTTTAGTAAAATATATATAGTACAAACTATCAATCTTATAAGGGTATTATGTTTTTACTTTTGTGTTATTATTTTCCATCACAGTGGAATTGATTGTTAGAAATAAAATGAGATACTGTTCCATAAGACGATTTTTAGTTTATTTTTTCACACAAAAAATATTAGATCTGATGTACATTAATTTTGTCTTGAGACTTGTATAGATAAAAATTGTGTGGTTATTGCAGATTTATATATATAATATTTCTACATTTTGGAAACTATAGATGGACTTTTAGAGTGCACATCATACTTGATTAAAGTCAATTTGCAAAACTTTGTAAGAGGTTTTGATCACATACCACAAAGAATTTTTTAATTTCACAGTGTAGTTGTACAAACATACTGCATACAAATGTAAAAAATGTGAAGAGCTTGGATTTGAGCACTTATATGTGTATGTGTCATTGTAAGTTACTAATATTTTGAGGAGAAAATGAAACTAAAATTTACATGTATGTAATATTCTGATGTAGAAGATAGTACATTATGCTTTCAGAAGAAAATATATACAAGACAAATTTGTATTTTGAAAAGTAATAATTTTAGGTAAATTATTTTGATGTGTGGATTGTATAGATATTTTTGTTTTTGAGAAGATTATAGAAGTGTATTGCTATTGTTTCAGGAGGATATGAAGTCTGCCATTTCTTTACATATCTCATCATCCAGCAGCTGTTCTGGAAAACCACCTGATAGAAAGTTATGTGAATCAAATCTTTCTCAGTCTGAAAATATCAGTAATTGTAGAATTTGGGATAATCAAGCCTCAAGTGCTCCACATAGTCACTATTTTACTTCATTGCCATCTTGTCATACATTGGTGCCAGATTTATCTGCCAGCCATATATTTGTCCCACCATCTGAGAAAAATAAACAGGTTTCATGTTGTTCAACTGATAAGCTCAAGCCAGATGAATCATCATTTTCAGTCTTTCATTGCAACTGTAATGAAAGCATTAAACTACCTCAAGTGTCAGCTGTAGAAACCAAATCTATGGATGCTCTATATAATCATAAAGAGACTTGTGTAAGTTCTAATTTATTGGTCTATCAGCATATTACAACTCATCTTGTATATCTCAATAATATTTAATTTAAAAGTTACGTTTACGAGTTTCAATTGGTTTAATTCACTAAGGTTGTATAATAAATTATAGAAATACTTGTGAATGTTTTGATATACATCTGAACAGTCCAGTAATGTATTTCTTTTACAGGAGGATATATCTGCTGGTTTCTCTTCTACTTGTAATCAGAATGGGATCTTTACCAGTTATTTCCAGTATGACAAGAAACAGCAGGAACATTCTGAGAAAAACTGTTATATAAATACTCATAATGAAATAACAGTTGGCTCCAATAGTGATAAAAGAATCTACAGCTCATGGTAAGTGAACATTTCCTAAAAATTTTACTTTTAAGGTTTATTTTCTCAAATTCTTTTTTATATTACATGAATAAACTTTGGTCTTTATGTAACTCACATGTTAGTTACCAAACTTTTGTAAGCCTTAAATATAAGGTGAACATGTTAAAAAAATTTTAAAAAGATTGTGAACAGTAACAGTTTGTTTGTATTATTCTGAACTTATACTATTTCTATGTACAAAATACACAAAATGACATGTTTTTTTTACATATAATGTTATAGAATGTTTAGCTGAACATAGAGTCTAAGATGGTTCTGTATTCTATCAGTTAATGGTAAATAACTCTTTTCGTGAACTAGAATTTTTAGAAATACTCATTAAAAACATTTAAAAAGTCAGATGTATATTTACGTATGAAAGTATGAAGATTTCTGTTGATTTCAAGAAGGTTTCAATTTTTTATCAGATATTGTTAAGGCTTGAAAAATTATAAACTCAAATATGTGTACTTTTCTGTAATAAATTATATAATGACTTGTAGTAGAAACATGAAAAAGTTTCATTAAAAAATCACTAAATAAAATATTGAACAATATTATGTTTTTCTTACATTTTTTAGTGAAACCTGGAATAGTTAATAAAAATATTGAATATAAGGGTTTTTAAATGTTATGGTTTAAACTCAGAAACTCAGTGAAGCAATATAAAACCATTAGATATTAATTTGACCATTTCATATTCAGAATCAAAGGCATGTAAAAACATCTACAGTTTATGTGATTTTTAAGAGAAATGCAGTTTACATGATTTTATCACAAATTTAGCCTATTGCAATATAAAGGTCTTATTTACTTGTAGAACTTTATATAATTGCTATTTCATGATTTTGTCCACCAGATACTTTATGAATTATAGTGTACTTAATTGCATTACATTTTAGTATTTCAGTTAAAGTAACCAATTAAGCTTTAATACTACATACATTTGTAATATGTTTGATAAGAAAATCTTCAAAACAAAGATATCCCTGTATGTTATGGCTGGTTGCTCATTACAAAAAATGAATAATAGATGTCAAATGTACTTCTATGGTTTTTTTACAATTTGAAAAACCAAGATACATTTCATTTAATCATATCCTATTGCTAGCTGTATCTTCATTTTGTGAAGTTTCCTCCCTGCTTTTTAAATAGTAAAGTCATTACTTTTTTTTAGTTGTTTTTCATTTATTTCAAATTATAAGTAAAAGTGAATAATAATGACAGAAAGATGAATTGCCAAGTCTAAAAAAAAGTTTTTTTTCTGTACAGAGCACTTAATCACAATTCAGCCAAATTGGTGTTTTGAAAATAAAATTGGTAGTATTCTAAATTGATAAAGACTGTTTATCTTATTTATTCAACAGCTTTTGTAATTTGATTAATTATTGTAAAATTAACCTTTAAGAAATTAATCATTAGGAATTAATTGTGTTAGCAAATAATGTAAGTTATAAAAATTAAATTAAATAGTTTATATTTTACAAATGAGAGTTGTAGTGAATATTTTCAAACTCTTTTTATATCAATAAATCAATGATACACATAATTAGATAAATGAAATTACCATGGCAGTACACTAACCCACAATAATCTCTGTTTCTTTATAGCACAGATTTCTGTGAAGAAACAGATCATGAAACTGTTAAACAAAGAACAAATTTGTTTTTGTATGTAAATATCCCATCTCTTCTGGTGAGTCCACTTGGGCTGTTTTTTTATTTAAGTATCAAGATTTGATTATAGTGTTTTCCTCACTCATAAGTGTCATTTCTTCATTCATTCATTATTAATATGTAATATTTCATATCTCAGATTAATCTTGTTCTTAATTACTGTGATCTATGGATCATATTTCATTACAGTACAGTTAGGTATGTGTACTGCTTTCATACTGTACTGTATTATTTTTTAAAATATAAATATGATTTTATATATTGTACCCTGTAACTGGAATTTTCTAATTTCATTATTTATTCAAATGATGTACAAGTTTGTTAATTAAACTATTAGTTTGTTTTGTTGTCTTGAATTACATATCAGAAGAATCAAAGATTATATCATATATATTATACAGCTTTGTAATACAGCTGTATATCACACATATTTTAATGTGCATTTGATTAGAATTATAGTTTAACCCAGAATATCTTTACATTTGTAGATGTTGAACTTTGATGTCATTTGTATAGTTTTTATGACATGTTTATTGTACTACACAAACTATCATTTGATTTATGTATGGTCAGTAAAAAAATTCAACTCATTCTTTATCCTATGATATCAATAAAACTGAATTCTTAACAAAAAATATTAAATTTTTTTAGCATAATCATAAACATTAAAGTTAATCATGAAATGCTTTTTTAAAGATTTTGTGATTATATTTTTTAACCAAAACTAAAATTTACTTTTATAGTTTTGAAACCATATGTTTTAGGCTTTCTGAACACTACAGGAACTTTTATAAATGGGAACTATATGATACCTGTGAACATCTGTCATTCATAGTCTCTTACAAAAAAAATCTTTTAGTCACTTACAAACAAAATTATTTTTCTATTGTTTGAGTTTTTATGAGAATAATTTTAGCTAAAAAGCAGAGATTATCATTAATTTTCAGTTATAAATATTATATCAGCTGATTCTAGTAAAGGAAGACTACAGAACAGCTCTCCTGAATATTACATCAATGAAGAATATAGGATGACATCAGGAGTTATATTTTTAACTGGGCTGTAGGACTACAGTTTCAGAAAAACTGCTATGAGTCATTAAACTTAATGTTGCTGGGATAAAAACAAATTTATACTAATAATCCATGAGTGGAAAAATTTCAAGTCCTGCTTAGGATAAAAATATAATAGCAGGATATGTGTGTGTACTCTTACACTTGACATTCCTTTTCACACTAAATAGTGTATAATACTTTTAAACATGTTGTGTAAATACCCAAAATATTTGCTTTCATTAGCCAAGGTCTGGCTAACAGCTTTATGGCAGCAATGGTTTAATCATACATGTACATAGCAATTATATCTTTATAAATATAATACTACTGTCTGTTGTCTGTCCATGTAACTACTTTGCAGGGTATGGATGGATCTTCACCAAAATTGGTATGGAGGTTCATTAGGTCCATGCAGGGATACATACAAATTTTCAGTTTTACATTTTATGGGTGTTTTTTACCACTACTTCGCACCCCCATTGATGGATCTTCCCCACATTTGGTATAAAGGTTTGTTGGGTCTATGTGGAGATACATGCAAACTTGTGGTTTCACATTTTGTGTTTTACAGTTTTTATGCACATTTTTCCATTCTTTACAATTACATATACGGGAAGCAACTTTTCATGTCCTAAGATAACCTCACATTAATCATGAATTTACATAACTTCTGTCCTGGGGACAGGTACTTCAGGTAGTTGTGAATAAAGCTATAGTAATAGGTACAAACACAAATATTAAACTGGTTTTAATTAAATTGTGTTCTTTATTCAACAGTTATAAAATACAAAAGGAACATTAACAAAACAAAAATAAACTTAGTCAGAGTGGCAGAACTAGCAACAAGCTTATGACTATCATCTTGTTTCAAGCTTGTGAGAAGCATGTTTTGATGAAAACGTTTGTGCATGCCATGGTTTTTAATTGCCATTGAGGAATGATATTTTCTTGTGATGGCATTATTATATTACAACCAAACTTGTTTCTCTTTGAATAAATGATTTGTTAACTATAGCTATTAAATGTTTTAAATCAATTGGAGTCAATATAACAATATAAATGCTGTAGAATTAACATATTTTTTCATAGATTGTCATGTATGTTTGTCTAAATCCTATAAGAAACATCATTGCATTGTACTGATTGATTACATTGCTACTTCTAGCACATACTTTTTTGTTAGTTTAAATATATATATAGGTTTGTATTGTAAAATATAAACATTGTTACTATTGTAAAATATGGTTGGGATTTATGGATTTTCATGGTGAATGAATGTTATATAAATATTACAAAAATATTAGTTATAAAAGGTATCGTACTTTATAATTTAAGCATTTTATTTTGTCATAAAGAAAGTTATGTAGTGTTGTATTCATTAGATTTGCTCTCAAATTTTACTAACAATCTGTGTACTTAACTAATAAAAATCATAGTTTTATTTGAAGAAGATTAGGTTATGTTGACTGGATATGTTACAATACTGGTGAGATATTGAATGAAGCATTTGCTGAGTTAATGAAAAATACATTTTTCTACAGATTTATGATAGTGAAACTATTTAAGTGATGTATTACAGGACTTGTAATACAAGTCTTAAATTTAACAAAAATGTTTTTTATTGTTTAGGGATTGATGTTATGATCAAATGGCATGATGGTTATTTCTATCCTGGCAGAGTTTTAGATCAAAGTATAGATGGACGGTTAGTTATTTTTTAAATTTACAAATAAGCTTTATTATTCTTATTAATTAGAATACAAAGACTATCTTCTTACTTAATTTTTTTGAGTTACTAATAAACTAACATACATATTTTGTGTAATATTTATCATGGTAATAAATGTTCTAGCTTTTCAGATGTTTAAGTCACTGGTTTGAGACTTGTAATTTGGTTTCTGCTTAAGTAATTTATAATTAATTTAAAAGATCAATAGAACAAAAAATACACAAAGTTTTATTTTAGTGATAATAACATAGGGTTTTATGTATCCAAGAAGTATAAGGTGGTAATGATCAAAATGTAAAGTCCTGCTAAAGCAGTATTTACACTGTTAGCATACTAGTGTTCATAACTTTTGAAACTACACTAATTTTTGTTGGATACCGCTTAGTTTTAACATTTTCTTGTTCATTCATGCACATCAGTGTGGCCATCTTCTGTAATGTGTTTTCTTTACTTTTCAGGCATTGTCATTTCTTTAGTCTCTGATCATAGAAAATTTTTTTAAAAATTCTTAAATATTTTAACAAGTAATAGATATGAAATTTATAGTAAGATGTCCACATTCTTTACATGTATTTTTTATATTCTGTCTTATATTTAATGCTACATTCTACAATTTATATATATAATAAAAAAGACAACTTTTTAAACATTTAAAGGTGTCTCTAGTAGTATAGTAACAACAAAATAAAGTCTATAAGTATATAAATGCACATTGGTGTTCATGTAAGTAGTATAGCTTAATAATATATTTTTCTTTCAGTTGGCTTGTGAAGTTTCATGATGGTGATATGAGGGTACTACATGAAAATCAACTTTTAGCTCTGTCTGTACTACCTAAAGGGCAAAATGTGTTTACTCTAGCAGAAGATGGATATGCTGACCAAGGAGTGGTCTACAGCTACCTTAGAGATGGGGATAAGGTTGATTATATAATTAGACAAGAGAATAAAGCATTCCAGAGGTACTTATACATAGTGGACATGTCTTTTCATTGTTTGATAAATGCTAGATTTAATAGTTAAATACATTGTTTTTGTTTTATTTTTTATGTGCAATAACTAAATTTGGGTGGTTACTGGATTTAATAATATATATTGTTCAAAACATGAGAACTCAAGCATAGCATTCCTCAGGTAAAACATGTATAAAACTTAAATATTTACGCTGAGTTAATATGGTAATAGTAATGGCAGATCTACATACCATTTACACGTCAGTATCATTATACTGAGACACTGTTTTAATCACTAACTCTCAAACTGGTGACTTGTTTTTATACCATTCACTTCTGGTTGGGCTCATATGTTGCTTGTATTGAGTATTTTCATAAAATTCACTGCAAGGAACTGACTAAAAAATGATGTACAGCCACTTATTCTCTGCATAAAATCTCTGCAGATCTCAGTAGATTTAATTGCAATGTTTCTTTACATGTTTTTATGTATGTGATTCATATGTTATTAAGAGCCCTTTAACAAACAAAGCTATGGACCCACAAACAGTTTGATGTTTAAATTGTATTAAAAACTGATGGAGTACACAGTAATTCTGTGGTTAATATGATAAAATATTTATAAAAATACTTAAGTTGTAATCTAAGTAATACAAAATTTCAAGTTTATTATAAGCTGGAAAACAACTTCTTCATTGAGAATATATTTAGTTACTTATTTTGGTGATGTTTTTTTTTAAATAATTTGAAGAAAGTAAGCTAAATGTAATGTCTTTTTTTTTAATGTATTTCATTTTCCTTTAACTTGATATAGTAATTTTCTTCTCTATTTATTAGTAGATTATCATTAAATAAGGCTAGAATTAGTTTAGATTGCAGATAGTGTATACATGTTCATTATGGTATCATAGCTCAATTATGAACTTCACTCTTCCATAAATACTGTAGAATTTATCTTTAATAAGATAATTTTCCTCAGTTTTCATACAGGTGTTCTGTATGAAGTGTGACATTATTTTTAATCAGATGTCATAAGGTTGTAAATGTTAAGGTTAAAGTAGCATATGGTAATGGTTATTAGATTCTATCACTTTGGCCTTCTGTTTGTATCTACTCCCTGAGTGGGAAAGCCCATCTTGATGGAGACAGACTGGTACTTGTAGAAATTTGTATGAGTTAGGGTTTTATTTCTGCCCCATAAATGTTGTTTGGAACAGTTGGTGACATTGGTGTTGGATTCTGTATACCACAGTTCAGATTGGTACAATAAAACAAAATTATCTTTGTCCTTGCCTCATGGAGATACAGATTTGAATTTTACTAATTTTTTTCCCCTCATCCCAGTAGCCACATACTTTTAAACTTATTTGTTGGACATCAGAGTAATTTAATACCACAATGGTATGGTATACTCTCTTAGTGATTGTAGCTAAAATAATGGACATATGTAACAACAAGAGCAATCAGAGATATTGCATGCTCTTGCCCTGCCACTCCTTTTCGAGATTGCATGTGTTTATATTGAATAACATAAAATTTCACCTTCAAAAACTTAGAAAATCCTTTTCAGATCCAAAATGATCAATGATCTGGATTATTTTTTGTAGTGTGATGAGAAGTCTCAACCTTAATATGCCCATAAGATTTGGTACAAATCCAATCACAATTAACCCAATACCACAACAATGCCGTATCTCCCCATTATAAAAAAAATGCTTCAAAGTCATCCAGAATCCGGATTTGGATCTAAACCAAATTTGAGGAGGTCTGATCCATACTGACTTCCCATTGTGTGTAAAATGTTTCTGTAAGTTGGTGTATTAGTTTTCGAGAAAGGGGAGTGTAAGTACAGACAGACAGACACAGTACCCTAGCCCCCCCTCTGGGGGAGAGGATAATAAAAATTATACTTTTCTCTTGAGTTAAGTTAATTTACTAAAATCAACTTCTTTTGTATTTTTCAACAAAATAGTAATAAAATTGGTGTATGATCATCTATTTTCTAGATATGTGCATAAAATATAGTGATAATTTATATGGCTGTTTTAATAGAGTAACCCAATATAACTTAACTCTACCATGAAGTGTAGCATTTAACGTATATAATAAAGATATGCCATATCTGAATTGATATGTTACCAAACTTAGTAATCTTAATGCTCATAAACTGTGGAGATAAACATTTTGGAGTAGAATCTGTTTGGTTAAACATAATATGAAGGGACCATATTTAAAGATATTTTTCTTTTTTTTAGAACCTTTACAAAATTAATTTTCTGATTTTTTTCTAACATTTAATTGCTAAAATGCAAAAACAATAAACAAACTAATTTTGTAAATCCCATAAAAATATATAAAATACTTTTACTTTGTCGTTGTTGATCAACAAACTTCAGTCAAATGCTACCAATTTCAATAAATTTCTTTTTATCTTGAGAACACATTGTTGTAAGCTGGTGATGAAGTGATTCATAACGTTTTTGGTAATACAAGTGCCACCTATATAAGGATCTGCATATATCTTCCTACACTTTGACAATAAAAACTTCCAATAACATTGATTGTTTCCTAGAATGTTTTTCTTGTATAACATTAGTTAGGATATAATATTTCAAAGTACTTCAATACACCATATTTGTTTTAGGTATAATAGAATTATATAAATCTTATTTGGTTGTCAGATCTTAGTAGTTTCACTTGCTGGACAGGCTTATTATATTGATTAGTATTTAGCTTAATCTTTTTAAAAATTGAAGAAACAGCTAAGATGCTAAAAAAGATACTCAATATGTTCGTTACTGAATTTTCTATTCGTCCTTTAGATTTACAAAAGGATTAATAATTTTGTCTCAAGATCAAGTTGACATACTTCTTTCCTTTCAAAAAGAACCTACCACTTCATGTGTTTTTGAAGGTAAGCTTTCAAAGAATAAGGTATTCATACCTATCATTTGCAACTTTCTGTGTGTAACATAAAACACAATTGTACAAGTGTTGTTAACAGGTCTATAAATATGTATTTCTTGGTTTACGAAATGTTTTTACAAATTTTGTAGCCATTTCTTATACATTTTAGAGAGGGTAATACATATTAACAATAATTAATACATATTGATTACACAACTGTCTAATATTTCTAATCTAAATATGCCCTTTACTTCAGCTGTGAGTGCTTTGTAAAAGTGACAGTCAAACATGCTATTCAGTGAAGAGTAGCCATGAAGGTGGAGGGTGGTACTGACTGGTTATATATTAGGGATGACTATACCTGAACCTTGATGTAGCCATTTTAATCTGTGTTGCTTAAGGTGCTGATAAGGTTGAAAATACCAAATAATGAATTTTTCTAATATTTAATTTAAATGAAAAAAAAATACATGTAGATTTGTTGTTATGGATTTTTTCAATCCAATATGAATAGAGTTTTTCCATTTTGTAATGTTACTATTTTTAAATAACTTGAGAAGTGGAAGCTATAACAGAAATTAATGAAAATTTTCTTACTAAGAAATTAAACTTTTATTAATTATGTATTACATTTATAATGTTTAAATTTACATATAATGATAGTAGCTGTTAATTTTTCTGAAATTAAGAAGCAATTTTATCTTATACAAGTGCAACTGGTAGTGATTTTTCATAGTCTGTCCACTTGGTGGCTCGAACCACAGTACTTTGATTATTTTAGAATATACACTTCTTTCCTGTATTAAGTGTCAGTAAAATTTATTTACTACATGCTCTATTTACTACTTTGTTTGAGTTTAATTTATTCTAGTGACGATATATGTAAAGTTCTTTTCAGTGGTGCTGAAAAAGACTTCTCATATGAATTTTTAGAAATACTGCTGTATGGATGAATCACAAAAACACTACATTATTTTTAAGGAGCTTAAAGAAAGCTCAACTCAAATTAGATTTATTTTTCACTAACTTATGCAGTGTTGTACAAAACCTTCCAATATTCAATGTCCATTGGACCCAAATGTTTGACTTAATAAAAATAAATGATTGAGAACTATTTTACTTATGGTTGTGTTTTATGTGTTGTTTTTACCTTGATTAAAAGACTAACTTTGGTTGTCTTCTTTTCCTTTTTGCCCCCCAGTGGCACAGCGGTATGTCTGCGGACTTACAACACTAGAAACCGGGTTTCGATACCCGTGGTGGGCAGAGCACAGATAGCCCATTGTGTAGCTTTGTGCATAACTACATAAAAAACAAACAAATCTTTTCCTTGTATAAAACACTCATTCTCATTATAGGCTTTTTTGTCCATGGATCTCTTTCTTTGTAAACATAAAATGATTCAAAAATACTCCCAGGTTATGTTTTATCATGTCCTTATCTTTTATTTAAACAGTAGTTATAGTACTTATATAAACAAAAATATGTATTAAAATACCTTCCTAAAACCATAGCAAGTATTTGACACTATTTAAGTCCAAAGTACTATAGTAGAGGAAAGTAAAAACACTGTATATTTTCTATTTTTATGTCTGGGAAAAAAAAAGATAGATGTGCTACATCTAAAGGAGGTATGCTATTTGAGGGTTTGGCTTTTTTGTTGACTTGTAGCAGTGAAACTAATCAAACCAAAAATAACAGAAGTGGGACATCACATCTAGAAATATCTGACTCAGAAACAAGTGATGAGGAAGGTGAGGATTTCAGACAAATTACTAAGCATGAAGTGTAGCAATAAGTAGCAACCAGTTAGAATATGTTAACAGCATATTGCATATTCTGACAGTTAGCTTTCCTTGAATATAAATATATCTTCATTAACAAGAAATCCCCTTTGGTGGCTCAGCAGTAAATATGAAGGCTAATAAGGCTAAAATTTGGGCTCTGATACCTGCAATGGGTAGGATACAGTTAACCCATTGTGTAGCTTTGTGCTTAAAAACAAATAGTTATTAAAAAATGGGTTTAATTTTCTATTTTGGGGGAATTAAGGCATATCTGACAACTCTTAGAATCTTACACCAATATTTGCATATCCAACTCAAGTAATTTAGTCTGTATATCTGTCTATATGCTTGGTTTCTGTTTCATTTATTGTTAGTAAAGAATGATATAATTTCAAAAAATTCTAAGCTTTTTGAATATAGAAAATATACTGTTTATGTAAAATAGGTAAAATTAACATTCTCATAAAATAGCTTGTTTTCAGAAAGATTGAGTACATAATGGAAATTCATATTTATGGTTTTTTATGGATAAAATATATATTTATGGTTTTTTATGGATAAAATATATATTTATGCCAAATTCTGAAAGTATACTGTTTGCATCACATGAAATAAAAATGAAAATGAGCAAGAAGTCACTGTAAAGGTGTTCTTTTTATGCACATTGTAGAGTGATTCTACATGAAGACTTATCTTCCTACAAGATTTATATTCAGTGAACAATTTTCTTGTTTCTCATTATAAGTACATTAAAATAAAAAGGTTTTTAATGTAAGCTTTAATAATGCTTCTTGTAGAGGAAGATTTACTTGCTAATCTACCAGCTTTTGACAAGAATAGACTCGTAGAACAAATAGAAAAAGCTGGAGGAACTTTGGTAAACAGCTTCGAAGAAGCACAGGTTTGTAATTTTTTTAATAGATGCTCACCATAAAACAATAGATAAATTACTAGTGGGTGTATAGGAGACAGAGGTTCTTGTTAGCTGTAGAAGGTACAAAATATATATGAGAAAAGTAGAATTAAAAAATTTAATCTTCCTTTCTTGGTAAATTTGATAGATATTGTAATATTTGTTTGAGTTCAAGAAGTTAATTAAAAAGTACCTTTTCTGTTTATTTGTATTGAATATTATTTTGTGAAATCTTAATTGTTTTCACGTTTATCTTCTGTTGAAGTGTTGAATTGAAACTTATTTTGATTTCTGTTTACACTAAATACATGCCACCTGATGACTTAGCTGTAAGTCTGAGGGTTTTTCATGCATTGGATTTCCATATCTGCAACTGGTAGAGCACAACCAGTCCATTATGCAGCTTTATGCCTAACAACAAACTATGTACACACAGCTTTGCTGCCATTCATTCATTTTCTTCTTCCCAAATAATTTAAACTCTTTAAAATATTATTGTATACAAATGTTAAATCAAGCAGATAGACTAATTTTATTGAACATAGGAACAAGGTGTCTTTGTTGTGTTACTTTTTATTGGTGACAAAAAATTTTATTTAATGGAAATGATCTTTTGATTTTTGTTCTACACAAAATTAATAATTGTGAAAAATATTAATATGTTATATCGGTTGAATAATTCCACAAAAGTCTTCATTATTTTATATGTAAGGTACCTTATATAATGAAAATTACATTTGTAATTAATTGTAGGTATGGAAAAATGTGTATACTTGAAAAACTTTCTAGGCTTTCTGTAGTTTATTAAAGCTTCTTCATGGTTGCATTATGTAATGAAAATAGTCAGTAACCTCTAAACAGTAGTAGTATTTATATGATCTAAAGGTTAAGTCTTTTGTCTCTTATTAGGAAAGGACAACATTTTTTTTTTATTGTTGGGACCTAAACAGTGACACTTTTTACTATTTGGGTAAAACTTGAAAATGTCTTATATGTAGGTTACAAAGATAGTGGAAATTGTAAAAGATGGTTCAGAAAGTTTAGAGTTTTTTTTAATTTTGGCTTGTTCAACAAGCTTTGAAATATTATCCACTAGTATATTCATACCAAACACAGAAGAAAATGGTACTGTTAAAAATAATGTTTTTATAACAGCCTCCAGGGTACTTGTATGAAAAACTAGCTTTTAGAATATTGATGATATAGTCATAAAGACAGTTCTTAAGAGATGTCGTGGCTTTTTGAGAAGCAAAAAAAATGGCATGATGAGTAAATAAAAGCCTGATTGATATCATTACTAATATCTGTTGTTCTGCAGGTTGTTCAAGTAGAACAAGTCTTTCTGGTTGCTGATACTTACCTAGAAACATATAAGTACATTCAAAGCATAGCTGCGGGTATTCCTTGTATATCACATGTCTGGGTTAATAATTGTTGTTCCATGGTAAGTTGGCTTCTGTCCTTCAACATTTTTGAACTCTTACATAATTCTTAAATACTAGCTACCATGTAAAATGTTTATCTAATCTTTGCTATCAATCTAACTTAATATTCTTTTATAAGAAGCTATATGCAGAAATGTTATAGCTCTTGTTATTATTATTGCCAGTTTTTATGGCATATTGAAGCTAATAATGGTTGAAAGCCAACAATATAATGAATTCAAGAATGTTACTTTCTCTGAGTTTTTACATAATTGTCAAGCATAAAATTTCTGTACACATATATTATGTAATGCTAAACAGTTATCCTTTCTAGTGCTGAACATAACATAATGTTTAGGGACAATAAGGGACCTGTTAGTCAAACTCGGCCATCCCATCATCTAAACTAAACTATTATGAGAAAAAATCTGAAAGCCACCTTTCTCTTAAATTCACTTAAATTTACTTGCTTCCACTATATCCAAAGGCAACTCATTCCAGAGGCCAACCACCTTGATAGAAAAATATAACTGTCTTAGCTAAAGATGACTCCTACCTTGTCAAAATTTATATTTGTGTCCACTAGTCTTACTATTCTTACCATTAAGTATGAAAAAAAGATGATGCATTAACACTATCAATTCCCTTAACAATCATACACACCTCAATCACATCCCTTCTAACTCTTCTTTTTTCAAAAGAAAACAGTTTCAAAGATCTTAATCTCCTCATTAATCCAGTTTTACTGAACACCATTTATAACAACCCTCTGTTTTCTTCCATCCAGCCACTCTTCTATCTAATTAGCTAACTTATCCCCTAAACCTTTAGAGATAATTTTTTACAAGCCTTTTATGTGGCACCTTGTCAAAGGCTTTCTGAAAATCCAGATACAAATTTACACCCTTACCCTCATCTACATGAGCAGTAACCTTTGCAAATAATGTCAAAAAATTTCTAAGGCAAGATTTTCTCTTAGTAAAACTATGTTGACTATCCAATAAAATTCTAAACTTTGTTAAATGACTTTGCAAAGCATCTTTTATAAGGCTTTCCAAAAATTTTCCCACAACTGACATAAGACTAATAGGTCTATAATTACTGAGACAATATTTATTACATCTCTCGAAAAGAGGAGTGACATTAGCTAACTTCCAATCCTCCAGTACCTGCCCACTATTCAAGGACTTACAAAAAATAGTAGCAAGTGGCTCACATACCCAATTCTTAACCTCTTTCAAAACCCTTGGGTAAATATTATCTGGCCCAGTAGTCTTATCAGTTTTTAAACTTCTCAATTTTTTCTTCACATCCTCCAAATTAGTGCAATAATATTGTCTGACCTTGTTTCCATCTATCAACTGTTCAAGATGAGGAATGCTACTTAAATCTTCCTTAGTAAAAATTGAAGAAAAAGTAGGCTTTAATAACCTAGCCATCTCATAATCATCAGATACAAGCCTTCCTTTATCCCTCAAGGGTCCTACACCTATCCTAACATTTTGTTTACCCT